CCCCCCCACCGGGTCACCCCCCTGCTGACACCTCGTCCCCAGCTGGAGGGCGAGATCGACGCCTGCCTGGATTTCATCCGGACAGTCTACGCTGTGCTGGGCTTCTCCTTCCGCCTGGCCCTGGCCACCCGGCCCTCTGGATTCCTGGGGGACCCCGAGACCTGGGACCGTGCCGAGCAGGTGGGACAGGGACGGGGACGGAGCATGGCCCCGCCGCAGGCACTGTCCCCAGCATCGCTTCCCAGCTTTGCCACCATGTCTGCTGCGCCGTGCCCCACATGTCACCTCCTGCCTCACTGGCGTGTCCCCAGTGGTGTCCCCTGCATCATGTCCCACGTGCCGTGTCCCAGCTTTGTCCCCGTGTCCCACGTGCCGTGTCCCAGCCTGGCCATAATGTCCCCTGTAGCGTGCCCTGGGTGTCAGGTCCCAGCTTTGCTGCCGTGTCCCCTGGGTCAGGTCCCCTCCCTGTTGTGTCCCCAAGCTCTGGGCTGTGCCTGGTGTCCCCTGTACCATGTCCTAGCTTTGCCCCCATGTCCTGTGTCACCTCCCAGCTCTGCTGTGGCGTCCCCTGTGTTGTCCCCTGCAGTGCCCTGTGTCACCTCCCAGCTGTGCCATTGTGTCCTATGCGTCACCTCCCAGCTTTGCATCCGTGCATCGTGTCCCTGTGTCACGCCCGCGCATCGCGTCCCCTGCATCACACCTGTACATCCTGCCTGTGTCACATCCCTGGTGTCCCCTGTGTTGTGCCTGTACGGTGTCCCCCGGCGTCGTGTCCCCCGTGTCACTTACCTGCATCACGCCCCTTCATTACACCCATACGTCGCTCCCCCATGTCACATCCCCTGCGTTGTGTCCCCTCCATCTTCCCCTGTGTCACATACCCTCCGTCCCATGCATCCATCGTGTCCCTTGTGCCACACCCCCTACATCCCATCCCCTACATTGCCCCCCCCACCCCCAAATTTGTCCCCGCAGCAGCTGGAGCGGAGCCTCCGCACCTTTGGGCAGCCCTGGGAGCTGAGTCCGGGTGACGGCGCCTTTTATGGCCCCAAGGTGAGAGATTTTGGGGGTGCGGAGGGGTCCCCAAAGGATTTTTTTGGGACTCACACAACCATGTCCTAGCTTTGCCCCCATGTCCTGTGTCACCTCCCAGCTCTGCTGTGGCGTCCCCTGTGTTGTCCCCTGCAGTGCCCTGTGTCACCTCCCAGCTGTGCCATTGTGTCCTATGCGTCACCTCCCAGCTTTGCATCCGTGCATCGTGTCCCTGTGTCACGCCCGCGCATCGCGTCCCCTGCATCACACCTGTACATCCTGCCTGTGTCACATCCCTGGTGTCCCCTGTGTTGTGCCTGTACGGTGTCCCCCGGCGTCGTGTCCCCCGTGTCACTTACCTGCATCACGCCCCTTCATTACACCCATACGTCGCTCCCCCATGTCACATCCCCTGCGTTGTGTCCCCTCCATCTTCCCCTGTGTCACATACCCTCCGTCCCATGCATCCATCGTGTCCCTTGTGCCACACCCCCTACATCCCATCCCCTACATT